ATAATCCTTGTCTTCACTATGAAATATTTGATGAGCACGAAATAAGTGAACTTTTCTTAGTCTTAATGTAGAGTGTGCAGTATAAGCGTTAGGACAAATATTGTATTGTATCTTATTTTTTAATTTACTACAATATTGCCATATCCAATTACGAGTATTTTGCATCTCGCTTTGCATACTCCTTTGCTTTGCCATCATGTTCGCATAGTATCTTAGAGTGCGTATTACTAAATAAAGTATAACGTTTATATCTTGAAGAAATATTCGCCGAAGGTCGAAATAACGTATAAATCTTTGTTAGAATGTAAATATTGATACATAATTTGAATTCGTCTAATAGTCGTTTCTGTTAAGTTAGTATCTCATTCCTCGCAAAAAGTGGCATCTATGTGGCAGAATTAAGTGCTTTCTGTATACTAATTCTGTGTTTTATTCCCAACTTTTGTGCTCGAACGATTTAACAATAAATCGCGAATGAAATGTGGATGACTTAGCATCCTTCTTATTATAAATTTTATAAAGTCAAATAGTTCAATAAAATTAATTGCTTTTTATGTGTTTTCAAGAATACTCAACAGAATTGAGTATCTGCAATAGAAATTCAGAAAATATATGCCAATAAAATTTGATATAGATAGATATATTATTGATACAAGAATAAAATACTAATATCTATAATAAAAAGAGAATATAATATTTTTATCTGATATATTATAATACAATATATATGGAACATCAAAATATCAGTTTTCTCGATATTATCGTAAATACAATTTTTAATATGAATCTTTTGAGATAAGCATTTTTTGTTGAAGCGCGCCTCATTGTCGTAATATATTCGTGTGTGAAGTCGATACTAAAAATTAAATGTAACTTATGAGCCTATTTGCCACAAACGAGATCGAGAAGCGAAGTGTCAGTTTAGTCGAGAGTTGAGAGCCTCTCGTTGACAGCCTTCTCTCGCGATCGTCATCGCCGTATTGTCTGGTATTGTCTGAAGCACCGGAAATGCTCCCGCCGGAAGAACCATCCTAGTCCCGATTTCAACCACGTACAACGTCCCCTCCTGTCATCAAGATCTGCGTGGGTCTTGGGTGCGTCCATGTACGCATGAATGCCCGTTTCCATCCACGTAAATACGCGCTCGATCCCGGCACTGCTATTGCCGATCACGTTCGGTACACGAGACACATCGCGTAGGATTAAATACCGAACAACCGGCTCAAAAGGTGCGAATGCTAATTGCAAAGGATTAGGCGTCAAAATGAAATCTTTCCGTTCAATGAGTGATATTTATACGCGTTTATTGCTATTGTTATCTTTAATGTATATTACTTGTATATCATAAACCATATCTACAATACCATATCAGAAATAATAACGATTGAAACATTAATGTACCGTTGTGAAAGATAATTTGTTTTGTTTGAAACAAAGTTGATAAGAGAATACAATTAAATATTGATTAAAAATTTATTATGTGTGTTATGTTTATTTTACAAATTTTATATATATCAATGATGTAAATTATATAAATCGTTATGTTATATATAGAATTTTTATATTTTTCTAAGAAAAATTACAACTTTGTGCTGCCCAATCCATTTTTTGAATAATTAGTTTAAAATAGAGAATATAAATTTTATATTTTATGACAATTTTAAGATTAATGTTTGAGAAAGGACTAGTTAACACTATTAAATCCTTCAACGAGCATGCAGAAGTTCTTTTTCCTTTCTTGGCAATATTGAGAATTCAGCTTGCTAAAATTATTCAATTCTGATCTCCGACATAAATGTACGCACCTCGGATTTCTAATCGTGGAATCGACCACGCAACGTTACGGCATGGCTTATCTCGCGTCTCGCAAACTCAATAGTGAAGACGATGGAAGATAGATGATCATTTCCACGCGATTCACGATAGCCCCGCCATTAAAGTGTCTTGTCGTGAGTTAAACTTGCGATTTGTATGCACGAAGTGTACCAAACGTGACGCATCCGATCGCGATTTCAACCGACGAACCCGAGCAAGACAGAAATTTTTTCTTTGAAACACAATGATTAGATCATCCAAGTAGAAGGATGTCGCAATGGCTAATTTTATTGTATGTGGTAATTGCGGAATCGTGAGAAAGTTGGAAAAAGCATCGTTTACTAGTAAATATTTTGCTTATTTTTTAGGACAAAAATATATATATGTTAAAAATATATTATATATATTTTTAATGTAATTTTTATGCTTTTAATATAATAATATTTAGTATATTTTTTATATGGACTGTGAATTATTATTAGATATACAATATATGACTCTTTTTCTCTCTCCTTCTCTCTCTTTTTGTATATATATATTTTTATTTTTTAATAAATTATAAATACTACAAATATGTAGTACAAATTTTAATAAAATATTTAATTTTAAATAAAAACCGCTCCCGAAATATGTATTATGAGTCATTTAAAAGAATAAAGTAGCTTCAGAAGCTTAATGATTACATCAGTTGCATAATCTTCAAATTTAAATTCTAAATTCTGTCGACAAAGAAAGTAGGAAATCATCGTGTTGCAAGACGTTTCTTAAAGTAATGTTTACAAATAATTAATATAATTAAGATTACATCGATCTATATCTAATGAAAATGTGCGTTCGTTAACAAAATGCTTTCTATTTTGCTCCTGGTAGCAACGTGGAATGAAGATCGTGTCTTGCATCGCCTACTTTGCGCCTATGTCCCTAATCTCGCTATTGTTTCCCGGATTATTTCGCGGCAGAGGTGGTTAATTGCATGTCGCTGTCGACACGCGTGGGAAAGCGGTAACAATCTCTACGCGTGACTTCACGACGTTATTTTACGTCGTATCGCTCTGATTTTTTAAGAGAAAAAAATTGTGAATCCGTTTTTATCATTATTAAGTCCTTTTCTTGCGTTTATTTCAAAATTATTGAAATATTTATATAACTTTTCAAGATATTAATACTTAACACATCTCTATAAATTCTATCTATTCATTCAAACTAGAATTTTTTATTCAAGTACATAGTTATAGAATCAAAAAATCAAGGAGAGATTGATTCTTATAGATTTTTATCTTAGATTGCGTGATTAGAATGGAATACTCATTAAAATTAGCTAAAATTAACCAACATTTTTTGAGGTTGAAATATTTTCTACAATTTTTTATAAATTTGTTTTATAAGAAAGACATAAAAAAGCATATTTTATTTTATTTAAAAAAATCTTGTTTCATTTTTTGATATAATTATAATTGTAACATATTTGAAAAACTGACAGGATTTAAAATCATTAATTGCTTTATATTGAAATAAATTAGTTTTTAATTAAATTTAAAATTAAATGAAACGCACACATGAAGATCAATATTGAAAACCTGAAAATCTGAATGTCATCTAATGTTGAATGCTTATTTCTAATTTTTGTGTTACATTATTTAATTTTATACTTTCCCTATAATTTCTAGAATTAATCTAGATAAAAAAGAAGAATAAAGCATTTTTCGCAAATTTGTTATTTAACAGCGCATTTAATCCGTTCGTTGATTTTGGGAAGACGCAACTTTTATTATGACTTCCGTCATAACCACTGTTTATCGTCATCGACGACCGCACATCCTTCGGCGATTACAATGAGGATTCATCAGGGACAAGCAGTCTGTCTTGACTGATCGACGTTCCCGTTGTCGTGACGATTGCACGCGTGCGACTCAATTGACGAGGTAAATTGAACAACATCCGGAAGTCTCTCCGTGTTGTTTCGTCTTACACAGTGTATAATATCGCGGAAGCTTTCCATGAACCAATTTACATTGTTTAATTACTCGTTGTCATACTTAATTACTTCTCTACATCGCTTTCTTTTATTCGAGGACGCATGCAGGAAATGTCAATTTTCACGACAAGCTTGAAATTAATTTTTTTTTCATCGTCCGCTGTTATCTCTCATAAACTTTGGAAATTAAATTGCGTTATTATTTCTGCGCGGAATTTTAATGGAAAATACAGTGAAATTACATATATTTCTATATTTTCGGTTATACAAACTCAAAGCGGGAACCTTCTGGATCCCGCAGCTTTCGATTGAAATTGCGTTACACGTAGAAATAATACATAGACATTGTACTGCGGGAATGCCGCAATATGTATAGATATTCGATTTTCAGACTGAATTGAATAGAAATGATATTTACCTTACCTTTTCAGAAACGTCCTTATATATAGTATTCCACATTCGCAATAACGCAACAAGCAATTTACATTTTGTTACAAAGAAAATCGACTCGAGTCCCCAAGACGAGTAGAACCTGATAAATGATGATAAAACGTCGATCGCAATCAGACGAAAACATCGTCACCTGAATCTTTCACAGTGTCAAGCCTTACTTTTGCCTGATCGATAAATCTAGCAAAAATAAAATCGTCTTCGTACAATCTTGCAATCCTCACCCGAGTCATTGTCGCCCCACCTCGTATTTTGCGATGATTTCACTCGAGCCGATTGGTGCAGCGGAGTAACAGACCGGAATCCTCCTCATCGAAAGTCCTCGGCGCCGCGCCGGATGCGATAAAACGCCAACACGACATCGATATAAGTGCGTTCACGCCGTTCGTCGGACGGACGTTGCAAGAGCGGCGCGGCTAAAAGTCGGTAAAGTGTGCTAGGTCATTGCTTTTCAGCGACTGAGCCAAGTGATCCGTCACAGTCATCGTGGTACACGCGATCCTAGGCGGTCGCTACGTTCTATTCTCTTTTTCTTACCTACCAACCGACTTTCCATTGTAACTTGTCGTCGTGACTTGTCTCGAACGTAATCGAACGCGTTGGCTCCGAATGAGCCAAATCCGTGTGTAAATAATCATGATTTGCAACAGCGCGAGTGCTGGGAGGAGCGTTGCGTGCGGAAAAGTCAGTCGTGTGTGATGGAATATGATCAGTTTTCACATTCGCTGTATTTACGATACGGATTGACGGGTTATTTCAGGGGTGAACGAAAGGAGCGCGAAGGGAGTGCATGGAAAACAAATTTATTGGGTCGTAGCAGCAAACCTATAATTCACTACGCGAATTCAACATCGATAACTAAGAAGATTTGACGGTTTAACGAATTCCTAATGTTACTCAGCTGACAACCTTGCTATTTTAACACAGAAAATTGACTGTCTGTGTACAATCGTGGATTTGCTGAATCAGTGCAGTTTTCAGCTGTGCTTGTACATAGATGTCGAGGTATACGAAGGCATTCGAAGACTGATCGCGTGGGTAGAAAGCGGTTATCGTTGCGAATTTGTAGGGATTGACTTGATGGTTCGGGACATGCCGAGGGAGTGGTCGTGCTGTTTGTTGTTTGACGATGACGCGTCGATAAGGCGCGTTTAATTGAGGGGAAAGAGGTTGGGTGTCCCACTTGTTGGACCATTACCGGTGTTTACAATACGAGAGTGCGTCGTCGCTAACTACAAACGAGACAAAGGTGTTCCGCATCGGGGTGTTCCGATTATCACTCGATTAAACGATCGTCATCGCTACGTTAGGATGAGCCGGAAGAAAGTGTGGAATTCCATTATGCGACGGAAGAAGAAGAATCATTTGGAGTTAAACTCCAAAGATGAGAATTCTCCTTCGGGAAACGTTTGTAAGTTTATGAGGAAGTATCGAGTATCTTGTTTCTTTAGAGAGAAATCTTCTTTGGGGACTTCTCGCTCCAATAACGAGTATACGGAAGTTCGAAATGCATGATATCAAAGGATTGGTTATTTAAAAATGTGGTGTTTTTTTTCTAAAATACTACAGATACTGCCAGCTTTTTTTTCCTCGCTTTGACTTATACAGCGGATTCTTTGCTAACACCAACTGCTACGCTTCGTTGGTATTATTCTCGATTAACACACTTCATGCATTGTTCCAATAATAGCACAGTTACGTGTTATACGGAACATCGGCAGAAGCTCAGGGTCTTTTTGCGGAAATGAAAACCGCAACTTGTTTGCCTCACGTCAGTAAATACCTCGAACGCACGAATGTGTGCGTATACACGCGTTGCGACTTCACATGGCGCTTTATCGCTCGTATATATAAACTATCGCCGGTTCGTCTAGATTTACCACGACCGCGTAAAAGATTATTCATTATCCGCGCGAACATGATAAAATTGCGCGAGTCTTTCCGCAATACGGAACTGTCTTTCTTGCGTTGTTTTTTTTTCCCTTTATTTTACGTTTTTCTTCGCTCACCTATTAAGTGTAGATGAAATCGCAATTTTTCGTTCCTCATTTCTCCGCTAGATTTATTTTATACAGCTTTGCTTTTCATCTCGCGAAATTTGATTTAAAATAGAGAGATTTCTCCGTCGCTGCCGACTTTTTCATTCGACTTTCTGGCGAAGGAACCAATCGGATATTACGCGCTTTACCTTTTTATTTCCTATAAAATTTTCATTTCTACCGGTTCCTCATCCCTCGACGTTACATCGGCCTGACGCCTTTCACATTCGAGATCCCACAATCGGGAGAGAGAAAGAGAGAAGTCAGGACTGGCGGCATCTGCTGAAACATCGAACGGGAACGACACCGTATATAGCGAAAAAAAATATGACTGATCGTGAAGTGGTAGTTCACGAAACGGAAGAAAGGAAAATATAAGAAAGAAGAAATAAGTGCTAAACCATATAATGTAAGATAAATTCTTTTTAGCGGCTTGGTAATTGAAGTTAATTTGAAATCAGAGTCAAGTTGAGTTAGAGAAGCATTATTGCGTTTCACAGTCGACGATAAATGCTTTGGACGCTCTGGAAATGAACGCGAAAGAGTAATGGAGGGAAGAAAATAGGACGGAAAAGAAGCACGATTGCGGACATTCGATAAAAGAAGAATGAAAATACAGATGAAGAACGGGAAAGCCGAATAAGCGGTGCGAATAAGCTCTTAATTGTATTTCATCGATTGGACTCACATCTGTTATCTTCTTTTTTTATCCGGAATCACTGCTAATACTGTCAAATTCTCCTCAAACTCTTTCGCGATCCGAAAGTAAGACATGAATTATTTACGGCGCTCTTTCGAAGCGGATTTAAAATTCGAATCACTCTGTTTCCATCGTCTCTGTGAAAATGGAACGGATGAATAAAGAGGAAGAAGATGACGGGGACTACATTGCTTCTCCAGTCGACAATTTTAATTGAAACGTCCGCAACATTTAATTAAAAATCACTGTCCGCTATGATACCAACTTGAAATCGACTGACTATCCAGTGAGACTCGATTCTTCCTCAGTGAAATTGCGTATTGTGACTCTGCTTTGACAACAAAAGAAAATAAAACAGCGTTAAGAAAAAATAATTACAGTTGTAAATATATGTATCGCCTGTTGCACAAAAGGAGGTGAACGTAGAACGAAATTAATTGAAATACTGTTATTTGAAATTCGATTTAAAATTCTGATTAATAGTTAAAAGCATATTTTATGCTCTGTTATTTATAATTTAACAAAATATAATTGATAATAAATGTATTAAATATTGCTAAAAAGAGAGAGGCGGCATTTCTCTCTCTCTCTTTCTCTCTCTCCAAGATATATTAAATTTCTTAAATATATATTAAGAAGGGCTACAAATCAAATAAAAACACAAAAATGTAAATGCTAAGTAAAATATATTAGGCGCTAAAACAAATTAAAACATAAATAAATAGAAATGAATATAAAACGGCGTTTTGATTCCGATCGGATTATTATCAATGTTGTGTAAAATAACGTGTAAAAACTTTCAATAAATTAATATAAACGTATTTGAAATAAGCAACGATCTATAATTAAATAAAAATTACAAACTACGAAAATAAAAACTTTTTTAATTGTACTGAGTTCATCTGGATGTACAAAAAGATAATAAAATAATCTACTATGGTTATCGCAACGATATTAAAAATATTGCTGTTGTATCCAATAGAGATCATCTTTGTAATTGTGCGCAAGATGATACAGAAAAAACTCGCTATAGACCCGTCGCAATATATTAAGTTGATATATTAAGTTTATATTGATGAAAAATAGCTAATAAAACAGTCTTCAAAATATTTTTAATGCTAAGTATTAATAACATCAGTCAGAATGTGAAAAAAAATATAATATTGGTTATATAAAAATTTGAGATTCAAAAAGCAATCAGTCTTAAAATCAGTTTCAATATTAAATAAAATGATATCAATCAGAATATAAAAATATCAAAATATTTAAAACTCGAAATACAATGTGTCGATATATGTACGACAATAAGATAAATAAGCAATTTGCGATGAAGCTTCTTTGATATCCAAAACGGTAATAAGACGCCATTTGTTTTATATTCATTTCTATTTTTGTTTTAATTTGTTTTAGCGCTTTCTAATATATTTTGCTTAGCACTTACATTTTTGTGTTTTCACTTGATTTGTAACCCTTCTTAATATATATTTAATTAATTAATTATTTGAAGCGTTCACATCATGCACATTAAATTTCATTTTTAGATATACAGGGTGGGCCATCTATTGGTACGTTTTTGAATTTCGTCGTATGGCAACACCGAACGAGCTACAGACCCGAAATTTTGACAGTTTATTAGTCATACCGTCCGCGGCACGAAACAACATGTTTTCTCTTGAAGAGCGTTTTGAAATTTTAAAAACTTATTTTCAAAGTCAGTGCTGTGTCGCCGAAACTGTACGAATTTTGAAAAGAAATATGGGTCGTGATAGAGCACCCACCGAAGGAGCTATACGCAAATTGGTGAGGAAAGTTCGTGAGAAAGGGATGTTAGTGGATGACATTATATTACGACTGTTTTGAGTGAAATTGGCGCCGAGGTAGTCCAAAATGTCATTAATAATTGGGGTGACCGAATGGCATACTGTAAGGCCAGTAGAGGGAGCCACATGAACGAAATCGTTTTTCATTCTTGACGCGGATACTTTTAGCTTCACAACAAAAAAAAAATTAATAAAAAATATCAATGTATGCTCATTTGATCGCATTTTTAAAAACGTACCAATAGATGGCCCACCCTGTATAAATTCAATACACGTTGAAATAAAATTTTCGTTATAAGTTGTAATAAGGAGAATGGAACTAATTAAACAAAGAGGTAAATTAGCCTTAATGCAAATATCTATAAAGATAGCACAAAGACGAAAATTATTGCGCTGAATACAATAATCTATTTCGGGCTGTGTCAATAGCCGAACACGTATGTTTTCCCGTTTTCGTGCATTAAAATAAAACTAAATGAATATTCTTTTTGGCCTGTAAGTGTGGTAATTAAAGCGATTAATTAAAATCCAAATGTGTAGTTTTTATATAAGTTATTAGTGTGTTTCAATCGACACCGATATAGAACTTATTGGGTCAAGTATCTCACAACTAATTTTACAAACTCAGATGCTCAAATGAAATTTATCTTTATTGATATTTTTTATTCTATGTTAACGATTAAAGGTATATTTTATATTTAATTTTTATTATAAAGAATAAAGATTGTAGATTTTTTTAATTTTGGCAATTTAAAGATTTGAGTATTTTACAAATTATTATATTATAAGGTAAAAATTTTAATAAAGATTTAATTGATATACCTATACATAATTCTTTTATTTTTTAAATAATATATAATCACGTTAAACAATTATCTTTATGACTCAACTTACTCTTCGGGATTGCTTAATATGCTTCATAGGTGAGTCACTTTACTTCTTCATAATTAACAAAAATTTTCTTATTTACGAAATATATTAAAGATTTATAAGTAGACTTATTAAGTCAGATGAATGTGTACCGTTTTAAAACAGTTTATTCGAATAAAAAAATGTCACAACTAGTCCTGCTCTACTCTAACTATAAACGATATATGGCTCTTCTTTAGATTATAAATGATTAAATTTATATGATGTAATATAATAATATTAAAAAATGCAGTTAATTATCTTAGCATAATTATTTTAGATTAATCATTCAATTAAATTATTTAGATTAATTATTTTGAGATAACATAAACCGTTAGATTTTTATGTTCGGAACGAGCATGAAAGAGTCATGAAAGAGTAACCTACTACAATAAAGTAATCGGACCAGAACTTTTACACGGTTTTCCTTTGTGTTTTTCAAGGGGAAGACGGATTCCGTTGTTCGTTCAAATAGGTCTATTTGTTGAGATATTAAATAATTTCGACGTACCGACATTTCGAAGGCATAATCGCTAATAATGCAGCGCGAAGGAAACGGTTATATGGATTAGTTGGCGGAACAAATCGCACGACGTTTACGCAGATTGTGCCAAATACGGAACCGCGCGCATCGAATGACCATTAATTTCTTCCTTTTTACGCGGAGTACGGAACCAAGGCTGGTGCGAAAAAATTTTGACGATTAGAGTGCAAGGAATAACATCCGAAATGACAGTTGAATAATTCACATGATGTAAAAGTCTTCACGTCTCTGTGAAATTGTCTTTTTTGTAGGTGGAGGACAGTTCGATTTTTTATTAGTTCGAATTTTTTAATATAAGTTTAATATAAGTTTAAATCGCCGCCGTCACTGCAGCGAATCCGATTGTGGATGTAGATAGTTCGTGATATGGAATAACGCTGATATTAAGGAGAAGAAGAG